AAAAACACGACAGCCACCCATATTTTTCCATTACTTACTCCACAGCATAATGAAGTGGAATCCTTTCGTCTTCATCTTTGACGTCGACTTTGGCGCCAGCTTTGAGAAGCTCTTGAATGAGCTATTCGAAGAAAAGAAAAGGAAGAAAGATAGAGAGACAGAGACAGAGGTGGAAATAAGGTACTATCAACTGAGTTGAAATTGTAAATTGGCCGCCGTAAAGAGTTAAAAAGCTGACGTTTCGAGCGTTAGCCCTTCGTTACTCCCACCGACGCAGCCCCAAACAGTTTCTTTCGAAACTATCAGCCTTTATTCATTTTTATAAATAAGTCTGCAAGTAGGTTTTTAATTTATTCATATTTTATTACCAGTGGGATCTTTTTAATTATTTTAATATTGTGAATTGTAAGGCGCTTTGGTCAATTAGTGGAGTTAGCGCTATATAAATTATGTTAAATTATTATGTTAAAAATTCACACAGGAGCGCGGATGCATCGTCAGACTGATTATGGTGATTGGGTGATAATTGAGTTATTTGGTCTTATCGTATTGATCAATCTGGTGATGGTTTCGATCTGAATTTACAGACATACATAATATCCAGTCCAACACAATGCAAAATATTAGTGAGTAGGAAATTGCACAAACCGTCAAATTCATTAGCACGATCGGCATCATGACACAAAACACTAAGAACACTGCTTGGCTAAAGGTCGGTGAAAACAGCTGCTGGTCAGTGAAAAAGCGGGTGTATTCAAGTTCACCGATTGTCATGGCAACCACCTTCACTAAAGACAAATGCAATGACTGGAACGGGTCCTATCAAAAAAAAAACCAACAAAGCAATGGATGAGATTGAAAACGTTCACTTTTATAAAAGAAATGTTAGGAGTTTTTGTAAGTTTTTGGCCTGACATACCTTTTCAATATCGTCCAATAAAGTTCCATTCATTGTCATGTTGAGAGCTATGGCCTGTGTGTGAAAATATAGAGGAACTTAGGAAGGAAAATCGACATTACAGCTTGAATTGAGGTCACTTGTTATGGAATTAAAGCTGTTTTAACTTCAAAGAAGGTTGCATGGGAAAATTTCTGTATTCATGCGACCATCGTCCTGATTTGGTCAGGTAAGGACGTGCACGAAATAACAGAAAAGACTTAATGCATCGTCCTGATTTGCCCAAGAAAGGACGTGCACGAAATAACAGAGAAGACTTAATGCAACTATTCAAAAAGACAAGAAAAATTCGCGTAAAAGAAAAAAAAAGTGGAAGCATTACTTACGTTTACTTTCTTTGATAAAAGCATTTGAAATACCAAAGCAAAAGCAAAGATTAAGATGGAGAACATTATTGCTACCTGAAAAGAGAGATACAGGCATCCCCACGCTAATCAATAAATACCACATGCTCAAGAAATAATGTTGCTCAAAATAACATCAGTCGTGTGGTATTAAGGCCATATTTATTATTTATTTATTCATTCATTTTATTTACTCATTCGTGCATCTTGTTTATCCTTTGAATTTCATATTTCTCGAGATCGGTCAATGTTTAAGATTTTAAAAATGTCGAAAGAAAACAAATATTTGTTTTGTAGTGGGAGTGCACTTAGTAAGTACAGATAGTTTACCTTGCACGCTACTCAAAAAAACAATTTCTAATGAAAGGTCTCAGTCTGTAATCCAACTGATGGTTTGAGGACATTTCAAACCAAGAACTTCCTGACTGATTGCGCCCACCTCTCCAACGCGCGCTGTATCCTGAATACAATTGTGTTTGATTTTGATAAACAAGAAGCTCAGAGTTCATCACAAACCTTGCCTAATGTCTTCAGCACAACAAAAAGCATTGTGACGTGTATTCCAGATTCAAATATACTAAAAGAGAAGAAAAATGATTCAGTCTCTATGTCGTCATTTCGTGATCAGTTGGTTTGTTTCGAATAGTTATAGAGAGCTCTTTGATGTCATAGGTTGGTGACTTGCGTTGGACTACCGATCGAAAAGTCAGGGTTGTCACCCTATTGCCTAGCCATCGCGTTGTGTTTTTGGACCTGACAATCTACTCTCAAAAAGTATCTCACTACCTGCAGGTGTAATGACTACCACAGAATCTTCAGGGAAACCTGAAAATATCTGAGGACAGGGGGGAGTGTAACCTGCTCTGGACAAGCATTGAATCCAAAGATAGTAATTATACATCGAATTGAAATATGGCGTCCAATTCGGAATTACCATTGTTCTGGACTTACTAGCCTCGTCTTCACGTGGAAAACACAAAAGGATTATCACATGTGTGAGAGGCTAGTAAGTCCAGAACAATGGCAGTTCAAATAGGCCTTTTGCAGCTAGAGATCACGTGCTTAGATACCGCATAGCAACGCCATACTGGAGAGCAAGCACTCCAGTGATCTCAGACAAAATAGAGATCACAGAGGTCTGCATTCAAACAAAGAATACAGCGGATAACAAGTTAAAGGGTATCCCAATTCGAGAAATCCAGTAAGAAGTAATCAACAGCTTCCCCGGAGTGTATCAGCAGCAAAATCACACCAAAATTCGTTTTTCGCTGATACACTCCAAGGAAGCTGTTGATTAAAACTTACAAGATTTCTCGAATTGGGATACCCTTTAACTTGTTATCCGCTGTATTCTTTGTTTGAATGCAGACCTCTGTGATCTCTATTTTGTCTGAGATCACTGGAGTGCTTGCTCTCCAGTATGGCGTTGCTATGCGGTATCTAAGCACGTGATCTCTAACTGCAAAAGGCCTATTGGATGCCGTATTTCGATTCGGTGTATACCCTGTCATAATCCCTTTATGCCTTTAGAAAAAATCTTAGAGCATTTTCCTACATGTCTTTACACCCCGAATTATTCTAAAAAGTAATGCAAAAGAGCCTTTAGGTCTCGAGCACAAAACCTCTCAAATCTCCCTTTCTTATTACAGGTATTGGGTACGAAAGTAACAAACTTTAACCCACCTTTGCAGATACAGTAAAAGCGTAAGATATCCAAACAGCACAGAAATGGCAAGGAAAACACATTTATCAGAAAATTCCAAACCCAGATGCTCTGACAATATGGAAATTAGTGCTGTCGAGAAGGTGCAAATCTCAGCAATGTTGCTTGTTTCAATGTAGTTCCATTTCTGCGATCAGAGAAATCAAACAATTACCAGGTCATGGTTTTCATATATTTGATTTTTCAAGAAATTGGCTCGAGTTTCATGAAACTGCTCGTTTTGTTCTTGAGTTTTTTTTTATTTTTCGATGGCCTCCTAATAACCATAAAACTTGCAATGCTCGCTTTTTTTTCCATAACCCTCCTCAGGTCCCAGGGCTCTCCGCTTGGTAAATCAGGGAGGGGTGAAACCATAAACGAGAATGGGAACGAGATCGTTTGGAAAAAGTTTAAAGGGGATGTCTTAAAGATATTATTCCATTTATTTTCGGCTGTCAGTTCCTTAGAAGTACCAAGTTATGTTGTTTGATTATTCTAAAAGGATACCAAATAAATAAGCAAACAAACCAACAAATAACTCACTTCCCAGAATGCTTGATGCATTTCTATCAACAAATAAACAGCTGTCATAACTGCAATAAATATCTCCCAGACTTCGATTCGAGCAGTGATGCACACATTCTGAAAGGAAAAGACATGTGATACAACTCCAAACGATCCATTATATGAAAGAATATATATTCAGGCCGACAAGTCAGGAAAAGTTTCTAGTAGGTTTCATACCTGTCCGTCTGGAATAACTGGTCGAACGGGATTAAGCAAGTAAAGATGTTGAATGCACAACATATAAAACGTCAAGTTTCCAAGGTAAAAAAGGTAAATCACAGCAGAGATGTAAAAAAACCTGACACCCATGTGCTGCCTGTTGAAAGAACATGTTTGTCGATTAAAAAGAGAAGATTGCTCTTATTACTTGTGTCACGTGGGAGACGCTTCACAGCGACTTGTACTCTTGATCGAGAAGGACCGGTTACCAAGATAGAGAAAGTGATAGGCGATCTTACCATTTGCATCGCATCAGCTCGATAATCAGCGGATGAAAAATCAATTCTTCTCTTCCATAGTCCAGCATGGTCTGTAATGAGACCCAGAAACACCGATTAAGATGTCTTCGTCCATATCAGATCGAATTTTCGACGTTTATTTCAGTACGACTCGCTGGTAATAAAAGTCTATCTTTCCTTCAAAGGGCATGCTACGTCAAGTCTTGGTAAAGGTAAAGTCTGTTTACGAGCCTAGTGACCCATTAGGCCGGTGCTTAACTCCGGTTTCTGTAGCATGAAGCGACTAGGATGGGATGGTCGCAGGGTTACCCCCAGCAGGGTTACCCCCCAGTCCATCGCAGGGTTACCCCCAGCAGGATTAACTCCCAGTCCATCGCAGGGGCTACCCCCAGCAGGATTACCCCCCAGCATTAAATTGCCGGTACCCATTTATACACTTAGGCGAAGAGAGGCACTGCCTAAGAACACAACACAATGTGCCGGCCGGGGCTCGAACCCGGACCACTCGATCCGGAGTCGAGCGCACTAACCATGAGGCCACCGCGCCTCCAGACGTCAAGTTTTGAGTTCAATTCAATTAAAATCATCTTCTGCAATTCAAGCCGTCAATCTCCTCTTTTATAACTTTCATGTTTCTTTATTTCACTCAGGATTATTACTGTATTTACATTAACACCGTTCTATTGCCCTAGATTAACTGATGTTGTCGTTGTTCACCTTTGGAGCAAAGAAGACACGTCCATCGCTAAGGAGGGAAGGGTCGGGATTCACATATTCAAAGTCATAAGTTAGCTTAGAATGAAAAAGAAAAAAATTCATTAATTTACGTTAGGAATCGATTAACTACAATGAAGAATGAGGAACGGTCTCGAAGAGCCGTGGCCAAGTAACAAGTACTCACATCGGATGTTTATTCTATCGAACAAATATGTATTTGTGTATATAAAATTAAATATAAATGTTTCTAGATAAGCATTTTATGGCAAAAACAGGAACAACTTAGAGTAGCCTCGACCTTCCATTAACTTGACACGTTTTCCATGACGTTTTCAGGGGTCGTAAACATTTGTTTGTACGACAGAAATATAATCATTGTATATCCATAAAAACAATTCGTTACGGGATCTATTTATATACATGAGGACGTCGTCAGGATTTTCTCCAATGAAATAGTGAAATGTTCTGTCAAGGATCAGTACATTTATAGAGAACTTTACGCAAAAAGGTGTTCAATTAATAAACATCTGATCATTTTATAGAAAATGCGCGAGATAAATATTGAATATTATTATTATTATTGTTATTATTATTAATTAAAGAAAATTTTTGATCCTCTATTCGGCTATTTTATTCATACCGAGTAATCCTCATCTGTTTGTAGGTGATAGGAGTTTTGAATGCATTTATCCATAACCACCTGAAAAAGATAACAGTAGTTCAAAACAGTAAACAGTCGATTTTTAACAAACTGTTATTTTGTGGTGAAGATCCTGTTTTTGGTTTCGTCGTCGTATCTCTAACCTTGGCCACAGAAGGGAACGTTTCAATAAGACTTTTCAAAGGGATGAAATTGCTTCTTTCGTCACACACTGGAAAAGCTTCCTTCCACCTGAAAATGGACAACGATAGAAGCTATGTTCCAGTCAAGCCTTGGAAGCAGATTTCAACTAAAGAATATCCCCATAACCGTTGGTTGCCTATTAAACAGCTGTTGGCATTTGAGAAAGTCCTATTAGCAATAATCAAGTAATTGCTGCAGTTATTCTTGCTGCGCACTGAGTAGTTGGTCAAACTGCTACTTGTCCTGAAGGCTGATAGTTTCTAAAGAAACTGTTTGGGGCTGCGTCGGTGGGGGTAACGAAATAATTTGGATATATCAACAAAGTTGAAATGGTAAATTGGCCACCGCAACGATTACAAAAGCTGACGTTTCGAGCGTTAGCCCTTCGTCAGAGCTAGTTGTCCTGATTTGAAGAAATGGTCTATCGTATTGCGTGATCTTATCTTCTGAATGAGGGCAGTAATTGAAAGGACTTGTCAGTAACTGACTCTCGTTTCGACAAACTGAGCGAAAGTTGTTATCACAGTTAAGTCAGAAGTCATCATTGAACTGACTTGACTCGGATTATTACTTCCGGTCAGTTTGTCGAAACTTCAGGCGCTATTAACGACAACAGTTCTTTTCAGACCAGAGCGACCTGGGTTTTTATTTTACCTTACATGCTTGATAATTTCCATGCAGACATCTTGGTGACCGTTAGCTATTGCAGTTTGCAGGCAATTTTTACCGTCTGTTGTTAGAAGCCGAATATCTGCTCCCCTGTCCAACAGAAGCTGCAAAATGGACACCTTACCTCGAGACGCTGCAGCAATCAGAGCGGTACACTGAGAATTTAAATAAAAAGAATTCAAAACAAAAAACAGAAGTCTCAAAATGTAGCTTTATAACTACGACACTAGTTGAGAGAACCTTACTATTCAATTAAACTATCATACGTGTTTCAAATTTAGTAAGTTCGTCTCTGAGCGATAAAGTTTGGTCGATAAAAGATTGACTATTCAATGAATCGAAATATGGCGTCCAATTTGAATTACCATTGTTTTGGACTTACTAGCCTCGTCTTCACGTGGAAACACAAAAGGATTATCACATGTGTGAGAGGCTAGTAAGTCCAGGACGATGGCAATTCAAATTGGACGCCATATTTCGATTCGGTGTATATAGTTTCAAATTGTGCAATTAAAAGAGAAATTAAAAGAAAAAGTAATTGTTGAAAATTCATAGCCTAGAGTGTAAAATGTATAGTGGGTCAGGGTAATGAATGAAAACTCAGAGCTTCTGCACAAAACCAATTAGAAATAATTGAATTAAATAAGATATTGAGATATATTTTCGATACAAACAAAAACTTCTCTTAAACTTGTCGTCCTCTGTAATTGCTGCGCAGCGAACGTAGCGAACGAGCAGCAACATATTCAGGATTAAGAAGAATATAGGGGAGTGCGAATTCTCCAATTCATGACTTTTCACCGGTACGCATCACTTTTTACCAGAATGCATTGCATTTAACCAGAGTGCATTGCGCAACACTTGTTGTGTCTAGTGTATAGCGTTACATAGCGTTACTACTGTAAAGACATTTCCTAAATGTATTCAATCGTGTTGTAAACGATCTACTTTCCTAAGTAAAGGCAAATTAACCGATCGCTAGTATTGTATGGTAAATCCATTATCTTGATCACTGAAGGAAGGACAGTTCAATCAGAGCAATGAAAGGAGTCACTTGCTTAATGAATAACTGCACCTTGCGTAAATTGGCAAGCTTAAGTTAATAAGCCGGAAAGCGAAAGAGGTGTTGATAGGCCTTTGCGACTCCTACCATTAGCCTGCGCTTTTTATATTTTCTGCCCTCAAATGCCCTCAAAGTTAAGCTCTTATTAGGATATCTCTTAATAACTTTCTTTTGCGATGTGATACTTAGGGATATTTGTAAGATGTCATTTCCCCATCTGCATGTCCTTGAGGTTTGGCAAAGTCGGATGAGATTGTGTTACAGAAAGCAATATTTTTCTTCTGTGCGCGCGCTATTTTCTTTTTTTAGAGTACGCTTTCTCTCCCGCAGAATACAACTTCAGAGATACGTTTTTCAAAACCTCCATCTAGGTATTCTCCATTAATTACGCTTCCCCTCCCCCCTCCGCCCCCCACCCCCTATAGAAAAAAAGAACGCACAGTTAGATGAATCCCTGCTTAAGCTATGTCAGTATCAACAAAATGTCTCGTAGCATTACTATCTTGAGATACCCTAGTATATTACCCCGTTTTTGTCTGTAGCATCAATTTTTGCTCCGCGATCCAACAACAGGCCAGTAGTTAAATTACAGCCGCAAAATGCCGACTGAATTAGCGGAGTCAGGCGTTCATCACATCTGCAAATTAAAAAAATCATCCCTTCATTACCAGAGAATTGCCTTCAAGGTCAGGAGAGATATATTCTTGAAAAGTGACTTGTATGTGTGATCAAATGGCGACGAGTGAAATTAGGAAATAATTTCACGCGCGTTTTGTCAAAATTCTGAAAATTTCCCGAGCCTTTAGGCGAGGGAAATTATCAGAATTTTGACAAAACGCAAGTGAAATTATTTCCTAACTTCACGAGAAAACCATTTGATTACCTTTTAATATCGCGGGTGACAAATTACGTTCAAAACCGCAATTGTTTTTACTGATCATTCTATCGAAAACCGAGAACATGAAGAAGAATATAGTTTTCGTTTAAAGCATACATTATTGTTAAAGTTCGTAATTTTCTGAGTTTCTTCATAAAAAATACATTTCGAATTCTTCGTGTCTGTTAATAATTTCGGCCGCTTCTTTTAATTTCGTAACTTCTTCAAGGGTCACCGTCTTAAACCTCGACGCCATCTTGGCTCTGATCGAGATACAAGAGATATTACCATGGCAATTTTGTAATTTCAAATGTGAAATTAAAAATTAACGCTGAAATTTTGCGCCAAAATTAAGGAGTAATTTGTCACCTATGATATTAAGAGAGTTATTTTTCAACGAGTTGATGCTAACCAATAGGAGAACGTTCAATTCATTTCATTTCACCGATGTCTTCAAAGTATCTTTGCTGAAACTGGCTTGAAGTACAATTTCTTGGTAAAGCAAATGGTTTCATTCACCTGCTATCGACAGCAGCTCCTTGATCCAACAGATATTTTGTGACTTCAAGGTGGCCGTGACAAGCAGAAAAATGCAAACAATCTTGGAGGCGAAAGTCGGTCATGTGAATTGACTCAGGACAGGCTTCCAACAACACCTGAACACATGCAAGATCACCATTTCTGTGCAGGAAAAACGACTCAGATTAACACTCTGGTAGCTTTCATATATATAAGTGACTTAATCTTAACCTAATGGAAATCACGATAGAATTGGACTTAAATCAGGATTGAACTCCACGATCCAAATTTACAGCTTACTTAACATCAATCAACACGGTTACTTGCTGTTGCAGTGGCTGGAAGTATCGATTGAATGTACTTACAAANCGGTCCGTACTGTCAAGACCTCGGGCCGATATTCTCCCAGTACGGCCCTCGCGCTTGGTTAATAAGATATATGTAACGCGAGATATACTGTGAACTCGATTAACCCCACCCGTGTTTAATAAATTAAGCTGGGTTTACATTTCCTGTGAAGTTGTCACTTTTCAGCTTTGAGTTGTAAGCATCCTGTCTACCTTGGGCTAGGATGTCATGATTAGTAATCACTCAAAGCTAATCACGATGTACCTCAAGAATTATTTTCAGAGTCTCGGCCTCAGAGCTGAAAACAGCAACGTGAAGGGAAGTCCTGTGATTTACATCTATCAGGTCAATTGGTGATCCACGTTGCAAAAGAAATCTGACAGCATTGGAATGGCCTCTCTTTACAGCACACATCAACGGTGAAGGGGAATAAGAGTTCCCTTGAGGTGAAATATCAGCTCCCTAATGTAGAGAACAATAAGGTACACAACATGTCAGATTAGGTGTATGTCAAGGGTTTAAAGAGTGTGGTAGATAGGAACTTCAAAAGACATGTGAGTAACTTTCTCATTGGGCGTGCCTGAAACAGTTTTTCATTTGGACCATTAGATCACCTGAACGCTGAGGAAAAATGGATGAGTTCAATAAACACTCACCTCTGAGAGGAGAAGATCGAGAATTTCTACATTTCCAGCCAGTGATGCCCTGTGACAAGTTTAAAAATAAAAAAAAGATAATTACATCCAAGAGAGAAATTCAGCTTTGATGCAATGAATGATGAAAAATCACCAGATGATAATAACATCTAAAAGAGAACAGATATCTGTTATCTGTTTCATTTTTACCTCAAAATGGGCGTCATTCCCTCTGCATCTTCATCATGTATGTTGGCTCCGTTAAAAAGGAGAAGTTTTGCAATCTCATGATATCCATTCACACAGGCGACATGAAGAGGAGATGACAAATCATCCTGTGCGAAAAAGAACTGTGATTGAAGGTAAATTGCAAATCAGGAATCACATGTCTACTCTATTGACTTGGCACTGTCTCTTTCAATGAAGTTTGTTAACTTGTTAGCTGGTGATTACAGAAGTTGCTTTCTGACTGCAATAACTATTCTTTATATGAAAACACTAATCTAAAAAGTTAGGATAAATGAATACTCTCCAACACTTTATCCCTGGCTGCAAGCTATGGATCGCGTCACCATTTGTATACAATGAATTTGTTTATTTGTTGCTTTTGTGATTTGTAAATTGATTAACTCACCTGCACAGCGCATGTATCAGCGCCGTATTTTATACAAACCTCTGCCGACTGAAAAAGAAGTGGAAAAAAGGAATACTGATCAGAGAAAAAGTAAAACTACATCACCCTTTTATACAAATATTCAAACTAATAAACATAAATAAATGAAGCTTACTTTAATGTGGCCATGTCTGACAGCCAGATGCAGACATGAGTTTGTATCATTATCCATTTTGTTCAAAATAGCTGGACATGATACACCACAGGTTTTCGCTGAAAGGAAATTTAAAAACGCTTAATACTTCCATGATATGATACCTTAATGACGTCAAACTCGGTCATGCCTGGTAACGGTTATTTTATGAACACGCGCGATTGAGATATTTTGACCATGAGCCGGTGTGTAATTTGAAATAGATAGGCGCAACTTAGCCTTCATTTGTACAAACCAAAGGCGTTTTAAAATTGTTAAAACATCGAGATGAATTATAAATTACTAAATAAAGGAACACTCCGCTGATTGAAGGCAAATACTGCTGTACAAGTTCCGATTTGTCACCTGTGGAAAGTAGTTTTTCCAGCACATCATCGTGTCCATCTTTGGCTGCCAAATGTACTGCAGTGTATCCGTCATTATCACTTAAACTCGGGTCGGCGCCATATTGCAGCTAAGGGCAACAGAGACAGAACAGCTGAAGCAGACACTAACATAACCAATGAACAGTAAGCAGACATTAACATAACCAATGAACAGTAAGCAGACATTAACATAACCAATGAACAGTAAACAGACATTAACAAAACCAATGAACAGAAGGTGAGAAGAAGCTAACTTAACCGAAAGATCAAAGTTACCAACGCTACGATACTTGTCTTACAATCAATAGTATCAAGGCGAAAACTGACCAATCAGTTGTCAAGAACTAGACTGTTAACAGAACTAGACTGACCAACCAGTTGTCAAGAACTAGACTGTTAACACTCGACTGACCAACAATTGTCCTCGAGAGTCCGATGATGACCTTCGCTTATGCTGATGGAAAGTCATTCCTTGTCATTCAAGTGGAAGATCAGACTACACCATCGACTGTGGCTCCTTAGTCCCATCTTTAACTGCGTCACAAAAGACATCACGATTGCATCCTTACCAAAATGTCGACAACATCTAGTTTTCCCTCTTGAGATGCAGCATGCAGCGGGGTGGAATCCTCATTGTCCTTTGCATTTACGTTTGCCTGTCCTTCTCTGAGCAGAACCTAGATCAGAAAGTGTACAAAGAGTACATAACTGAGATATTGTAATAAAGTTATATTTCTGTAAGTCTCGTGTTTTCGTGAATTGTGAGAGTTTTAGGGTTCAAATGTCCTTCATTTTTCCAAAACCCACCTGAACGACTTTCAGGTTTCCTCTTCTTGCAGCATAGTGTAGAGCTTGTTGTCCATAACTTGATTGCTTTGCTACATCTGCTCCATTCAGCACCAGTAAGCGAGCTGTAGCGGGACTGTCGAATCGCGCTGCTATTTGAAGTGGTGTAGTAAATCCGTTTTCACACTCAGAGAATATGTCTAGATCTAAAATATCGAAAAGTGTAAAGTGCATAAGTTTATTATAAGGATTTCCAGTCTTGTAATGCATTTCATGATGACACAATATTTGAAATACAAAACAAAAACAAAAAGATATTATTCCATGGCATTTCACCTGCTCCTCCTTCAATGAGAAGCTGCACAATCTCTGCGCGGTCATAACGGGCCGCGTAATGGAGTGGAGCCAACCCTTCATTGTCTAAGGTATTAATAGTAGGTACGCATCTATGTTGTAACCCTTGAACGATATCAATGAGACCATCCCGACAAGCCTGTGAAAATTTACGGAAAAAAATTTAAAAACACGAACAAAAAATATGATAAAGTAAACATAGCTCAATGTATGTAAGTCAATGTATGTAAGTGATAATAGTCTCGTATTCTTTTTCTGTACGAATTAAAATATAAAAATACAATTTTCATGAATATCAAAAAATGACTTTAAGTATCTGATTACGTTAAATCAAATTACAAATCATTGTTTCAAGTAAAATTTATTATTAATCTACAGATCGCAGGAGGCTTTTATCCCTTTTTCCAGTGATCACAGGCAGCCTACATAGTAATTACACTTTCTCAACGGAACGGAGACTATCATTGTGTGCAGATATCAGATTATCACTGTATGACGCATTCCTTGTGATTTGGATAACTGGCTTCATTCTTCCGAGGTCAATACCGCAGATTTCATATCTAGTTCTTATTTTTCTCAAAATTCCTTGGGATGACCAGTAAAAGAGATGTAAAAATGATTTTTTAGAGACATGATGGCTATCAATCAGTGGTCTCATCAAATTCAAGTTCAATTGAGAGTCAGTTTCTTCTGATTATAAACTGACTGGTAGGTAATTAATACTCAGTTGTGATTCAGCCTTTTAGCAGCAAAGTCAAATTAACATCCAAGGAATAACAATGATAGATGTTAAATTTTTCTCTCCAGACAAAGGAAAAATGTTAGACTTTCGTGAGTATTCAGTTGAGCCTCGCATTTTCCGATCTCGCGGTGGGCTGTACTACAGACTGTACGCACAATTTGAACTGAAAAGAAAATACCTTAAGATGAAATGATATCTCAGTGTTTTACTCACTTCTTTCCGACTATTCGCTACTGTTAATATCTTTAGCTTTAAATCGATTTCCTTGTCTCAATTTTTTCATTACATTATTCAATACCTGATGCAAACCAACACGGTGACAGAGATTTCTTTCCACCGAATCTGAAATGCTTCTTCGCAAGATGCTCGTCATGGTTTGGCGTCGCCTTGCAACTCCCTTCTCCTTGGTCGAAAATTGTCGGAGAGGCGTCAAAGGCAAACCTTGATTTTCTTGAAATTTATTTTCCTCATCCAAATCGCGAAGAAGTACGGTTGTACTGCAATTCATACCTTACAGAAACAAAAAACCGTTAAGTGAGAAAATTTCTGATTTCAGAAGTGTTACAGCGCCTTCAAGTTGTTAATCTTTTCCCATCCATAAAATATTTGTAAACATGCACTGATTCTCGATCCAAAAGTAATTTGGAGCACAATTCACAGCAAGAATCACATCTTATAACAAGAAAAGCGCTCTGGCAATCAACCAACATCTGATATAAACTAATATTGAGAGGGACCTGTTTACTTTTGATGAACTGTAATTAATGCAATTGTAGAAAGGCGAGAATTTTGAAGAGAAGTTACTTTTGTAAAATGACGGGAAAGGTATTTAAAGTAATAAAACGAACGTTCTCCCACAACTTGGTTAGTTCTTGAAATAGTTTATTACATCTGAGATGACTCATCTACCATGACCACTGCGTTTTTCCTCATTAATTTGAAAGCAAGACTCTTATCTTAAAATTTAATTGATAGTTACAAAGATTACACAATATTTTATGGCTGTGAAATCAACCAAATAAAAAATTCAACTGGCCAACAACTTGATTAAAATTTATATAATCTACTTTTTCTTGGATGAATGCGGATTTAAATATTGTTAATTTAATTTTCCTATGAATCCAAAAATCGCGATGTCAAAGTTGGGAATGAAATAAGGAAAATATATTAAAAATTCTGCCGAGAGTTGTCTATTTTTCGTCATTTGACATGCACCTGTATGTAAGCTGGGCAGGATGGTTCAATTCTATCGGATGCGTCATTCAAATCTTTTAAATTAAAATTAACCCGGATGGAGAGTTCGTAGAACTTTATTTTATAAAAGTGGGTTGTAAAGGCGGGAAAAATAGAAACATTAGGTCTACAAAAAAGATCTAAGGGACATTTCTCAGCGTTCAAATTGTTAGGGACCCGTCACGCTTTAAAGAAATGAAAAGCATTAATTATTGATTTAGCATAAAATTATGTTATCAGTGACGGAAATCACTGACTTCTCTTTGATCGTGAGATATGACTGAGTGTGTTTGCGCAGGAGCGTGTGGGGTAACTCACTTACATACTTGCATTATTTATCAACTCGAAGTACTCTTCTATCCTGTTTCATCGATCAAGCTGATGCAGATCTAAAAGCATTAATGAAAAATTTCTTAAATCAATCACTTTTTTTTAAGTGCTTCAATTCAGTAGTTAAATTTTCCCTATTTTAGTGGGTAGCGTTTAATATTTCCTCTAATTACAACTCTCATCCTATAGGGTTTGGGGATTAACGTTTTATGACAAATAAAAGCAATTAAAACTATTTTTCTTTTAAATCCTCAATGGGATGCAGCAACACAATCTTCGTTTATGCATACGTAAAATCGAACAGTTTATCATGAAGAAAAATAAGCTCTCGTACAAATTAAAATTGTCTGCTTAGTTGCCATGCCTTTGCATAGGAATGAGGCCAAGGGTTGCCACGGGTGACCTTATTATGATACAAAATTACTTTGCTTTCATGCTAATTTGTTTCTGCACGTCTCCTAATCTGTTAGCCTCACCTTAGCCTCACTCCTGACCAAAGGCTTGGAAACTAAGCGCACAACTGGAAAGTCCAAATTTCATTTAAAAATGGACTATGGACTTCCCAACGTTTCATCCTGAATTTTACTCTCAAAGAACTGTTGAGATCGCTTCGAGTGTGTATACTGAAACAATATCGATAGATAGTTATTGTAAGTTCTATGTGCGACATTTTTTCATGTTCGTTTTTCTCTTTCTATTTGCGCGTTTGGAGTTCATATATTCAAATCTTTTTCACTCTGTAATTATACTCATTGCTTCATTGGCGTTTGTCATTTCGGCCGCCTTGCTGTCGCTTTGTGCGGCCTGCATAATTAACATCATGTGACTAGGTGTCAGAAATTGACGAGGAAAGAATTTAAACGTATCCTAGAATCTGAAGTAAACGTTTTTTAGACAAGGCTGTGGATCCTGGCCACAACTTAGGGTCTTGTAAGACGAACCCAGCGCACATCAGAATACCTGCTTTAGGCACTATTAGGCACAAACAATCGTTTATTCCTAAGGTGCTAAACTTAACTTAATTTGACATAACTTAATTGTATACATATTGTTGTGTTTTGAATTTTTGAATTTGAATTTTTGAATTTTGAATTTTTTTACTATAATATTACCGTAAATCTTATCACCAAAGGTGATAAATAAAGGTATTGTTATTATTATTATTATCATGTAATATATTAACTGTTTTCTCGCTTTCGCTAAGCGCAGTTTAGTAATGTTTCTGTGGCCGTAACAATGTAAGAATTTTATAGTTCTCCTTCCGTCGTGTTGTTCGTTATTTCTTTAAGTTGTACATTGTGTAACTGTTGTAACCGTTTGTTATTTCATTTAGTTTCAGCCAACGTCAGCTAATCAGAATTAAGTGAATTATATATATATAATTCACTTGTATGTATGAAAGTCGCGGAATTGTTAATTAACGGAGCTACAAACCATAGGTTTCGCATAATTACAGTTACAGTGGTGGTAGAAAATTTACCACACACTTTCACGGAACACTAAGTTTTCTACCACTTCTAGATTCGCTTCAATTCAGATTAATTCAGTTCAATGGTGAACAATTAAATTTTCACCGTTCAACGGTCAGTATAAGTTCTTATCTTAAAAAGAAATCTTTTAATATAAGAGAAAAATCGAGTTTGCAGATGGGATTTGAACCCACGACCCTACGTGATCTAGTCGGATGCTCTAACCACTCAGCTACAGGAGACTATGGTGAGCAAGGGTCAATTAGTGGGTATTGACTGGAACCGCATCACGCGGCTACACAGCCAAACATCAGCTAGCGCATAGAGCTCACCATAGAGTCTCCTGTAGCTCAGTAGTTAGAGCATCCCACTAGATCACGGAGGGTCGTGGATTCAAATCCCATCTGGAAACTCGATTTTTCTCTTATATTCAAAATTGTTTATTTCATCTTTAAAAAGAACTGTATGCGCTTTTAAAAGTATTCTAGTAGTTTGAAGTTTTTGTACTAGACCTGTTCTCGAGCTTTCCATCTTGAAAATACGCAATAATAATAATAATAATAATAATTTAATATTTATATTGCGCAAATTAACATGTGGATATGATCAAATGCGCATCACAACACTTTTTCGGGGGACTTTGGCCGGACTGCATCAGCAGTCTACAAACAATCGAAGGAAACTTATTTGAAGATGCGCCCTCCCCCCACGATTCCCAGTAAACAGGCCAGACCACATCACAGTAATCTCGTGAGTGGGTTCTTTAACGTTCGCTGCCTAACCAAATTAACTAATCCAGAGGTTTTAAGACTTTTGCACGAATTTGACGTATTTTCTAGCAATACCCCACAGGATTAAAGCAAAAAATATGGACAAGTATCGACACGACACTGTGACATACAGTCAATGGAAGACTTGGATTTGGAGACATGTGGTAATTTGGAGAAATGATATTGAAGGGAAGAAAAGAAAGAAGCATTATAAGAGAAATATATGATGGTTAACTTACTTGCGCGCACCAATCGCTCTCTTTGACCAAGTTGATTCTCAATTTGAGGATCTAAAACTTGATTGTGATGATGACGCGCTATTTTGTAGATATAATTATATATATGCGACTGTGGTTCAATTACTGTAATTGAACCGCTGATTATGTAATTTACTATTAAAAATGCTTGCATCATGGCTCTAAAGAAAGAACAAATCCAGACGATTGCTTCTGATTCGTGATATCTTAAAGGAACTAACAGCCTGAGATACCTGTCAACGGCTATGACTACAATAGTACCTTGTGAACCCGAAATGGGTAGAAGGACGAAAAACACCGACACTTTGGCGACAGTACACTCAGGGGTGATGTCCTGACCATCTCTGTTCATTGATGTGATCAGAAGTCTTGTAATAAAGATTATAAACTGCGGCTGAACAATAACACCGATCAATAATTCAGATGGGGCGCATTCCTCCATTTTGTTTGTGTTGTCCTAATAGTTTTCACTAGAGGTCTTTGGCTGTCATCAGCAATGCTGTGGAATAAATATTGAACGATCAGACAAAACAAAAACTACCTTTTAACTTTTAAGGTTAAGACAAACGTTAGAATTGGAAAGTTTAAAGCCAGGTTCACAGTGATTGCTTTGATATTTCGAGATGCAGGTTCACAAATCTTCAGTTGGCCACTTTTAAACAATGAATTTCTGAATACAATGAGTGCTAAATCATTGTCTAGAAACAAAAGCCTACATCTGACCCGTAGGCTTAATGTGAACTCCAAATAACACCTATCGCCGTGTGTGGGCTGCCAGACTTATCTGCAAAGCTCCGCCAATGATCCTGGGGCGCAGTGTAGAACCGCAAATGATCCCATTGAAATTAATGAAATACCGTGGAACCGTTTCTCTTTACATTCTGACGAGTCAAAAGTGATGGAAGTGCACTCAGAACACTGCAGGAATAAAGCTTGTGGAAGATAAAAAACATCAGTCTTCAGAAATGAATGGATTTCATTCATATTAGTTATAGAACTCAACGGGCCATGCTCTTAAAAGTTATACTTAAAATTAACCCCCACCGAAACAAAGATAGTTCCTGCATGCTAATCATGCCAATTCTAAAACCATGAGTTGAGTGTTATTTTCAAATATCTCCTTAAAAGGAATCGAAGCTGTTGAAATAAATATCAGTAAATTAAATAAAGTAAATATCTGTATATTTTTATCTCCCCTTATTGTAGTTATTGTAATTATGATTATTGTAATTATTGTAAGAATTGTACTTATTAAGATAGTTCTTAAGCTCTGAAAGGCCCCTCTGGGAAGAGTTTAATAAATTATTGTATTGTATTGTATTGTATTGTAAATCATTTTAGTCTCTTTGGTTTGGCCCGTTCGTACACTCGTCATTGTTTGTGTTGGGACCAAAGCCTCAGTGTGTTGTCATCAATTTCATTCTAACGGACAGCTTTCACGTTTATTTCTTCTGTCTGTGTTTCGAGCTCCAATCATGACGAAAAAGCATTTACCTTTAATTAAAACTCGGACCGTTCGCCCAGATGCCCCGCTGGAAGCTGATTCACCGTTGATCTTTCTAGAAGAAAAAAAGCTGAAATTAGAGTGCTTATTCTAACGCTTAGCATCACAGCTTGGCCAAAAGTCCGTGGAGATGGACATTTATGAGATCAACGGCTCGCGTTCACTTACCAAATTATGATTTGTCTGCGGCGAATAAAGACATCACAATCAGAAACAATTTCTTAACTCGGCTGGGAGGTTTTTCGATAATTTCGACGAAGATTTTTGATCCTCAACATAAAATCCCAGATCAACAACATAAAATCTCTGATCAAAAAGACCAAAAGGCAAACATATCACGAATGGTTGTAAACTAGACTACTCAATTTCCTTACTCATCACTTCGTCACGTAGCTTTAAAAATTAGAAGTTAAATAAAAAATCCCTACCATTCCTCACTTTTTTGACGCCGGAGATCGCTTCTCGGTTTAGTTAGAAATAATTTGTAGTCTGAGTTAAGTGACGGTACCGGGAAGTTTATGGAGCTGAATAGCAAAGTTATCTTTGTTCACCTTTTACAATGCAATCTGTTTCTTTTAATTAGAGCCCATGTTACTCTTTAGTCTTTGTTCATATCCCTTGAAAAAAGCTATCGCATGATACAACATTTCTTCCCAAGTAAATTTCATATTCCGAACTTACCTTTCCGAGGATAAATGAATGTCAATAAATAAACGGCCTGAAGAATGCAATGTCTTTGCAGTTACTTTTTAGAGTCAAATTTAGGGAATAAATCATCCAAAACTGCAGGTTTTCATGAGAGCTACAAAAAGGTGTGTTGGACACCAGTCACTCCTTCACAAAAGTTTTCACAACACTATGCTTCATTTTAATATATCCTTTCTACGTGGGAAAACACCTGCGTTTCTTTGATAGTACTGATTTTGAGTGTTTTCTTAATTTAGCATCAAAATATTAATTCAAGTTCGATTACTACAATTATATCACTTTTTTTAGCCCTTCTCTTGAATTGCTCCCAAAGTATACTTTTTAAAGGATTCATGATTTCATTTAGCTGTTCTTATTCGCCACACTACTTGGCGGCACCTATATATTGCTCTTATAATCAGTCGACATTGGAAAAAGACAGCGTCATAACCATACCATTCAGTATTATCACCAGGCAAAGTATATCTGTAAGAAGGGATAACACCATCCTCGTAAAGAACTCATTGACGACATAACATATGGGATTCGAAATGAATACTACTCTATCATTACCTGTGGAGGCGCGGTGGCCTCATGGTTAGTGCGCTCGACTCCGGATCGAGTGGTCCGAGTTCAAGCCCCGGCCGGGATATTGTGTTGTGTTCTTAGGCAAGATACTTTACTCACACAGTGCCTCTCTCCACCCAGGTGTTTAAATGCGTACCGGCAATTTAATGCTCGGGGTAACCCTGCGATGGACTAGCATCCCATCCAGGGGGGAGTAGAAATACTCCTAATCGCTTCATGCTACAGAAACCGGAGTTAAGCACCACCCTAATGGGCCACTAGGCTCGTAAACAGACTTTACCATACTATTACCTTCCATATGATAAAAAGTAGAGCGGTCCGAACGTGGAATAAGTCTTTTTTAGTTCCTAAATTAAAGTAACGCAAACCCGCGAATTTTCAAAGCAACGTACGTTTTATTAACAACCCATGCCAAGTGAGAATTCTTGTAAGGATAGTTTGGTGAAATGTATTTGTCTCATGTGTACAAGTGATTTAAGTATCTTCTACCAATTGTCTCCTTTACTTGCTATCCACGGCTAGGAAAAATATCAACTTCTTACGGCGAACTCTCATTAGAATGTACAACAACAAAAACGTAGTATTTACAATTTGATCTTCGCACCGTGAGAGTTTTCTCTTCAACGCTTCGCAAGCACACTTGGCTTCAGTTTGAAACGACAATGATTCTCATCATTAAATATTGTTTTAAATGAGACTAAATATTACGACTTAGTATATTATGGTACTTGGTCGTCTTCAGAAATTTGGGCAGGATCTCTGCCATAATCTGACGAAAAAGATTCATCCCGAAAGTACAATTCATCCTAGAATATAATAATCCCTTCATACGAGTAAGAGCTCCCCCGCCCCACCCACCCCACTCACTACCGCATTTCGAACGAGTGTCGAAGAAACAAGAGTAACAAGAATTAACCTCTTGACCTCTACGAGTGACCAGCATCTAATTTCTCTTCACAAGATCACCGCTGAATCACACATTAAGGTCAGGAGAAAAAATGAATGATCACCAACTAAGGGGTCGACCATTCAACTTTTGAGGGGGGGGGAGTGGGTGATTTCTGGTTATCAAGATATTTTTTTTCTAGTAATCTGCTGGGTAGGATATTTTTTCCGTTCTAAATGCTCTTTTTTTCTGTTACATTTGGGCTGCATTCAACTTTTTTTCTTCCAACAAGCTCTGGCAGGAAATATTTTTTCAAAATCACCCACCCCCTCCCTGAAGGAGCTCTTCATAGTTGTACAAATTCTCCTTGTCAGTTGCTTGAGAATTATATGGAGAACAGTATGGAGAATATGCACACTGATCAGAGGACTAAGTAATAGAACACATTTTTCCGGGCCCTATTTAAACAATAGAGTGTTTCTGTCGAGGAACTATCAGACCGATAGTTCCGAGACATAAACACTCTATTGTTTTTATTGTTCACCACTAAATTTTCTTCCGCGCCCACAGCTTGTCACAAATGTCAATAATTCGCAACTGTACATTGGCTAAATAATACGTTATACCTGTCAGAATTGAAGTCACTGTTTTTCCGATCTGCCGACCTTTGCGGCCGTCAAACTATTCAAAACTTTTGACGGATGAGTACTATCAATCCAGGAATTTTCCGCGGACGGGCACTATCCATCCGGGTATTTTCCGCGGGCGGGCACTATGGGCTGACAGTGTCTCTCCACGGATGAACACTATCGCGTCACGTGATCGATTTAAACCGATAAGAACTGGATAAAATTTAGTGGTGAACTATAACACGTGATAGGGCCCCGAAAAAATGCGTCTTGTTGCTTCATTGACCTAACTAATTACATGCGGGCTCCATAACCTGATAAAGCATTCGCTTGGTAACTGAATTGACCAATCAGACGATGAGTACCACGTTCATTGTTATAATGGCCAATCAAGACAACCAAAGGAAAACAAGGAGCTAAGATAAACAAAGAAATTAAAAAAAAAAATGTGCGTGAAGAAACGAGCGTCCAAGTCCCAATGGTTTTAGTTTTGCATCTGCTTGGTTTAGAAAACGGCGCGAATATCTAGGACCAATGTAACCTGAAGTACTCTCAACACACAATCAAAGTTGTTCAATAACTTGCAGAGCATTTTCCCCAGTCACAAAGTACGAAGCAGACACGAATTAAAATGTAATGCAAGTGCCTCAATCCCACTGTGGTTTTCCCCTGGCAATCGGATTCTTTATTGGCCCAGTTGGGATAAACTTGGGTTGAACAAGCACCTTCTCTTCCGCGGCTTTATCTGTGGAGAACAGTGACAATTATGAGTAGACTATCAATAAAACAAAATGACATCATTATGGCGTATCAGCTGAGAAGAGAGAACCTTAATCAATCACTTGGAGACAATTATTGGTTGTCACGTGGTCATTTCTTTCGACAGATCAGGTAAGGGATAAGCACCGCAAAATGAAAACTTCAGGTATATCTGAACCACAAACCAAAATGACATGCGAAAAGAAAAAAAAAAACAAAAACACCACTTCAAGTGAAAAACCCAATCTGGGTCTCACCAGGCTCATCAACTTCCGAAACAACCAGTCGGTCCCAGACTAGAATGGCCGTATCCAGGCCTCCCGTTGATACAAGTACGCGGTCATCATAAGTCCACCGAACGTTTGTCACGTGAGAGGAGTGACCTCCATATTGCCGAGCACGTGCCCCACGATGCTAATAAAAGGGACAAACGTATAATTCTTATCAACGCTACCCAATGATAACATCATGTGATATTGTTCCAGGTTTTCCACTCGGATAATTTCTCAAACGAACAGGACGTCTTGAATAGTAATCGGAGATTCTAAACCGAAAATTCGAATTGCAAATGTACCTTTTACCTTGGAGGATCATTCGTTTGTTTCTTTTTTCGTTCTTAATTTTGTGCATTACCTCAAGATGGACACATAGTTCTTCTGTTCCTTTGTGATTGATCCATCCATCAAGAAAAAGTACACTAGTGCATACCTCAACTAGAAGCAACCGGAAGCGACCGCAACTGGAAGCGACCGCAACTGGAAGCGACCGCAACTGGAAGCGACCGCCTCCCAGTTAGCTCAATTGGTTAGAGCGCCGGGCTGTGGTGTGCGGGAGGTCGACGGTTCGAGCCCCGGCCGGACCGATACTCATGGTCTTAAAATAAGTGAGAATTTGCTACCTTTCTATAATTAAGAAATGGATGGATATTCTAGTCTTCTCGGATAAGGACGAATAAACCGTAGGCCCCGTCTCCTGCAGGGTTAGGGGTAGGAGACGTTAATTTCCCACGCACGAGATTACTGTTTAGTGGATGTCCTCCCCTGGGTGGGATTGGTGGGTGTTGGCCCTGAAAAGCCCCTATGGGGAGTGGTCAATTAACCTATGTCAGCAATATAATAGCAAGAAATTCGTACCGACACTGGGTACTCAAAAAGCTTCACCAAACCAAAATCATCTCCGCTGGCCAATAGGCCGCCGTCCTTGGAGCGACAGGTGGCGTTGACATCGGTGACGTCACTTCCGGGCGGGAAAACACCTTTAACAGTAGGACCCAGGACACAAGTGAACGTGGACCATTGCAGCCTCTCAATATCCGGAACACTTATGGTCTTTCGACTGCCAAATGGTGCCTCGTGAAATAAGTGTTCACGAGCTCCGGAGTTGGTTTGAATAAGCTTTCCTGAAAAATGACGCACTTCTTCATTGAAAACTATAACTCTCCACCAATTATCATTAAAAGTAAAGATGTAACAGAATTTTCAGGAGCATGGGAGAGAGGAAAATCTGGGTTTACAGTGAATGTTCAAACTAAGCTGTTCCGATTACGCGGTCCGATCTGTTGAATAAACTCACAGAGGCGATCTCTATAACGACCTAAGTTCTAATTTTTTTTTTACCTTTAGTGTCCCAGTCTAAGTGAGTGATGTAACTAGAACTTCCTTTACAGACACCAGTCCGTCTGCCCCGCCTCACGCTGTAGATATCCACGAAGTTGTCGTGTGAACCGACCGCTAACAATTTACCATCTGTTGGAGTCAAATAAAAAGAAATTTAGGGGTATTTCTTGGCCTACAGGCGCGTAGCGTCCTCTACGCATATAGGCGGATTCATGCTGACGTCATTGTTTACATTTTTGCTCATTTGTATACGGCTTTGCGTAAAGAAGGAAGCATGTTAGATACAAATTGACTTCAGGCAGCTAAAGAGCTAGAAAACCTTAGTACATGGTGAAATTTTTAGCTCTTTGGGTGTAATATTCAAGGAGAAATAGTCCATCAAAAACTAAAAAAATTTCTGGATGGCAGAAGCGCTAAATGAGCTCATACATTCTATGTAAAATTTTGAGTTTTTAAACCCGTGTTGCACAAAAAGTATTCAATGCATCAGGCTCGTATTCATTGGCCGAGTTAATCGTACTTTGAACTTTCGATATTCAGAACTGTTTTAGCTCCATCAGAAACTGAATTGCTTATGCTAATCAGGCAAATATTGTAAACAAGGATTCCCCTATACGCACGTACGTACTTGAAGTGACCAGAAAAATTTGAAAACAATGTTGTGTTTGCGCCAAGTTTGCTCAAAATAAGGGCAAGACACTTTATTCTTCGCTTGTATTCACACAACTATTTCAAACAAGAAATAAAGAACGCAGTATTTTTGCTCAGTTTACTTAGGTTTCTAGATCATATGTACTTTGTGCGTACTTGAAAAGCTGACCACGCTACGCGCCCGGCCTTAATTATATTGCATTCATAGGAAAAAGAAGACTTTTATTCATATGGAATAAAACAAAACCATTTTGTGGACTCTGCAAAATGATCGAACTGTTGACGATCGTAATTTTGCAGACAGTTGCCACAAAGAGATACTATTATTACAAAACTTTTAAAAATTTCATGATCCTTTGACGGATGTCAACTATTTGTAATGATTATCTCCATACAAGTCATAAGAAAGTTTACCAGGTGAAAACTTGATATCAGAAATGCCCTCCTTTCTGTCCTTGAATCCAACAATCTTTTCCAATGATTCCGCATCTAAAATGAGGAAACCACCATCATTCTGACCGACAGCCACAGTAATACCATCTGGGGAGTAAGCCACAGCACGACCACCTTTCTTCAGTTTCTTTACCTACGCAGAGTACAGGTAGAGGAATAGATAAAACGATGTTTTTCTTCTCAAATAACCACATTAATGACAACATGCAATGTTGTGGCTCGGTGTTTTGCATCTTTTAAGAAGCTACATGATGAAATTAAATCATCCCTGAGATTTTGTAAAACTCACCTTTTTTAATCTCAGTTTAGTTAGGTCCCAGACTCTAAGTGTCTTGTCATCGCTGACGGTCATGCACTCATCATCTGCTGGATGTGTGTCTAGTCCCCAGACTTCCCCTTCACCGTGACCCTGATGAAACGTAAATGAAAATGATGAAGTTTACAAAATAGATCAAATTAACGTGCAAGGCAACAACTTCCAGAAAAAAAAATCATGAAAAAGACAGCTACCTGCACCAAAATTGTCATCTTGCCATCTTCTTCAATTTCAATGATCTAAAATAAACATTGTTTGGTGCATGTACTCATTGTTAGTAGGGATTCCAGATGAAATAATTAAACTCTGATTCTATCTGCCGACACTGAAGGTCTTAAAATAACTGAGGAGAATGTGCTACCTTTCTATAAGGTCAAGAAGTGGATAGACATTCTAGTCTCCTCGGAGGACGAATAAACCGTAGGTCAAGCTGGAATTTCTAACCATTTTCACTGCATTACCGCAGTAGGGTAGGTCTAGAACGGAACATATGCGAACCATGTGAGTAGTCTACCCAATAAATCCCACCCATCCCACCCCAGGGGAGGACATCCATCACACAGTAATCTCGTACGTGGGAAATTAACGTCTCCTACCCCTNGGGGCATCTGTTAGATTCACCTTTAAATTGATTGTAAACTGCTTAGTAGTCTGGTAAAGTCCCCCGCACAGCGTTGTAAAACGCCATGAGCTCAGGATATGAGCGCTATATAAATAAAAGTTACTATTATTATTATTATTAAAATGAGCACTCCAGATTTCATAATTATATCATAATAAATTCGTGAGTAAATCATTTAGCCAAATGAATAAAACCTCCTACTAAACAAATGCATATACAAATTTCATTCCACTGACTCCTTTCCAATCATCTTGAAAACATGCTTGCCATGTTGTTTGGGGACTGGTGAAGAAAGGAACGATTAAGTTCTCCCTGTCTTGCACTTATTATGAACTTGAAGATGACTGGGAATGAGTCACCCCTTACAGAACTAATTTAAATACAAACCAACCTCATCATTTCCAGTGCCAATTAGTATTTTCCCTTCATCAGTGTGCAAGGCTCTAACTGGTGGCAAATTCTGTAAAAGAACTGAGCCTGGATTCATGGCAGCATCTTCCACCTTGAATGCTTTCAGACAGTGTTCAAAAAGTGGATCCCACATGGTAACCACACCATCTCTCCCACCAGTCACATAGCCCTGAATTTTACAAACATGGAGTGTTATGATTGCTTTTAACACTTACAATCCAAGTTGTATGCAGGATGCTTGTACTGTGTGAAACAAGTAATGACCTCACTCATCACTGAATTCCCCGTAGATAGGAGTAGGAAATCATAATTATTGCAAAATTAAAAGGTCTAGGGTTCCAAATTCCTTCAAAGGGGACTCAGATATTTTCACAGCCCCAAATTTATAAGACAACCAATAACAACCTTCTTTGAGGAGTACTATGATCTACACAATGATTCCTTTCCTTTCCTTTCCTCAAGGGTAACTTTCAACACAAAAAGTTGAGATATCAACTATACAAATTTATGTACTTTCTTTTAAATACTAGTCATTAATGCTAACATGATGAATAGAAGATTTTTAATATCAAAACACAGTCAATTAAACTAAACAACTTACAGCTGCCAAACACTTCTTGGTTAGACAGACAGAGGCAGTCAGATCAGAAGGACAGAAGAAGATGAAGAAAAGAAATAGGTATAAGGTTTTTTCACTTAAGAAAGTTTTATTGCAAGCCACAC